TATATATATATATATATATATATATATATATATTTGTGATACAATGTAATAGACAGATGATTAGTGAATAATCCGTTTCACAATTACCTTATTGATGTTGATCTAAGAGGAGGAATGACGTACGGCAATCAGTAGTTTGATGTGATCAAATTGCTGCTACTGCTGCTATAGTTAGTACTTTTAGGGTATGTTTAGAGATGGGAGATGGGAAAAAAACTGGAAGTATTTTGTCTATTTTGCAATCGTTGCAAATTTATAAAAAGAAAATTGGACAGATTATAGTTTGATCTGTCTATTATACATTAAAAAAAAATTTTTTTTTTTGCAAATGTTCTATTTGAGTGGATTGGTAATTGTAAGAGTAATATTCTGACAAAGTTTTTCTGTGTTATTGACTGTTGCTGAAAATATTGATGTTGGTATTTCTACAGTTTCTGTTGTTACTTTTACTTTTGCTGGTTTTTTCCTGTCTGTATTTTTCTGGTGTAACGTAGGTGGAGGAAAATTGGATGCTTTTTTTTTTTTCTTCTAATCTTTTTTCGTTATTCTGTTATTGTTTTTTTTTAAAGATTATGTCATTTGAAACTCTAAAATGTTGTTAATCTTTACAGAATTTCTTGAGTTTTTTTTTTTTTTTCCATCTTCTGTTACAACCAAAACTCTTAGTTTAATTTCAAGCGGTTTACAAAATAACATCAATAACAAAACGATGACGACGACTAACAACAATAACAGCAAAAACAACTATCCACAAAAAGATTCTGTGTTGACTTTTTGAGTCTAAAGAAAAACAATAATTAACTTTAACTTTTTTATGCTTTCAAAAACATTGAAAGCATAAAAAGGTTAAAGTCAATTAAGTTTTTTCTTTTGTTCTTATTTATTTAAGTTCTTTTTTTGCTAGATATATTGACAACTAAACTTCAAACAAACTCTAGTGCGTCTATCGGTAAAAAACGTTTGGTGAACAAAATATCAAGGTTGTTCAGTTGTTTAAACTAGTAATTTAGTATAAAAAACATGTTTATTTTTTTACGTCAATGTTTACATACAGGTGGGCAGTTTTTGAAGCTTAGTAGAAACAAGGAAAAAAAGAAAACAAGGAGACAATGATGACATTAACTAAAATTTTCAGCTACGATGATCATATGATAAATTTACAAGGAAGAAAAAAGACAAACTTCATCATAGAATATTCTTTTCATACCTACGATACATCTAAGTGATAACTTATAAGCTTTGCTCTAACAACATTTCTGGACAGACGTCCAGATGTCACAGTAGTTTATCGGTCCAGAACTTTTGCTGTTATTTGACTGAACATCTTACGATTTCAGCGATCACCATCTATTTATTGTTTTGCGACTGTAACTCAGCTAATTTGTCTGTCTGCTGAATTTTATAGTGGTTAAACACCGATCTGTGGTGTTATCATTGACTGTTTTTTTCTTTGTTTTATTATTGAAGCCATTTTTTGGCAGTGCAATTTTTCTATCGTAAATTTTTTTATTTTGATTGATAATATCATAGATTTATTGTAATTAACATTATAAATTACAGATTCAAATTAACAAGCAGCTATATAAACAGACAAAAAACAACAATTTTTTTCTTCTTATCTTCTAAACAAACAGATTATTAGTTCAATAATGCGAAAAAAAAGACAGTAACAGTTTACTGGACAAAGGAAAAAAATTGATCAAATGATAATATACATGCAAATTTTTTTTTTGATTGCTTTAAAAGCTGCCCATACAGTTTCCAAATAAAATTGCTCAGTATTGCACAGAATCCATAGATTGTCAGTCTTTCTTCGGTGTTTTTCGATATGATGAACATTTGGAGATCGTAACTTAGAGTCGGTTGTTGCAGTTGCTTCTAAAGCAGTTGGTCGACTGCAACAGCGATAGCAGTTTTACTAATTCTGAAACTTTAATAATCTTAATTGTTTGTTTTCTTTTACAGATGTATACAACTTCACTGCTGCTGTTGGCATTAATTGAAGCAATTGTCAGTGAACTGATTCCACGTGAACTGCTGTTTAGCAGTCCGCGATATTCTGGTGTATCGTTAAGTCCTGATGGACGTTTAATTGGTTATCTGGCTTTGGATTCCAATGGTGTCAGAAATGTGTTCATCAAATGTGTCACCTGTAAATACACAGATGTTGTAACTTTTGAACGCGAGCATATTGCTGGTTAGTACCAAAAGTTAAAAAAAAAAATCAAGAAAAGCTTACTTGATTTATCCTCTATTTTGCATCATTTCTGAGTTTTGTCATACACTTTCTCTTCTTTTCATTTGTGTAGTCTAAAAATAAATAAGTCTTGTTGTTTTTGAATGAATGAGGTTTACTGTAAGGCCAGTATAGTAAAGTTTTTTTCAAAAAGATATACCTTCTTAAACAAAGAACAGCAAAAACAAAAAAAAAAAGTAAACAGATTGGAATATTTGTAACTGATGAGCAGAGAGGCACTTTTTTTTTAAACTTGTATATAATTATCACTTAAACTATTCCCATTAGTCAACAGCAGCAGTAGAATAAGTTTTTTTATTTTTGTATAGCTTTTTACTGGACTGGTGTTCCAAGTCTGATTATATATTCAAAGGATACTGATGGTGATGAAAATCATCGTTTATATAAATTAAATATTACTAAGGTATGATTTTTTTTTTCTTTTCAAATAAAGAATTACTTTATTTACTGTTTTTTTTCTGTATATTTTTTATTTTATTGCCTAATTTAGGCTAATGTTTTAAATAAGCCATATCCAATTAGTGATCGTACTGATGTAAAAGCAGTAGTTATTGCCAACAATATTCTAAATTCAAAAATTATTGTCGGTCTAAACGATGAAGTACCACAGTTAGTCTTGTTTATTTTATTCATCGTTTTATTGTTCTGCTTCTATCCTTTGTTTACTATTCAATAATCGTAATTTTCTTAGTTTTAATTTTCTACAATTAATTTTATGTGAAAATTGAAAGGTAGAAAATTTAAGTGGTATC